CTGGGGAACGAGAAGAGCATTGGGGGCCGGAGCGTGCCACCGCTTGAAGACAGCGAGCGTGCACTCCCGCAACTTGATGTGGCCCCCTACTCCCGCCATATCTGCCCCTCCCACCTACAGTACTGATGTAATGTCTATCAACAGCACAAGCTCTAACCCTCTCCTTGGCCCTGGATTCTGCATCTCCTCCGTCGTGCTCTTCAGATGGACTAGATCCCATCCCTCGCGGGTTAATCCCTGAACCCATACAACCCACCCCCCTCCCGGGAGGCCCCCCAGCCTCATTATTTACATTGGAAACCACCCTTCTCCCAGATCCCCTTAAAATAGAATTTGAAAAACTAACTAAAAAACCCCAAAGCTTCCGGTTCTTAGCATACCACCTCTCGGGGTTCCAAAACCCGTCCTCGAGGGCGGCCCTAGATAACTGGGAGGGCCAAACTTGCGAGAAGGGGGAATCTCGCAGTGCTAGGAGCTCTGTTATTGAATACATCGGAGGTGAGATAGAATTGGAGGCGATGAAAGGCCATTTTCTTCTTAAGGTGTTAAAGATGGTTTAAAACAGATGGTTAAGACAAAAAGGGTAAAGTAGATAATTGTACAAGGAAGCTAATATAATAGAACATCGGAATACCATCTCCCTCTTACAGTGATGGGAAAGTCTTGTGATTATCAAGAAAGAGGGGGAAAGTGTTACCTTCATGTCCAGGATGGAATTTTATATTTTAAATAATCCATTCTATTAATGTAATGTTTTCCATTATGAAAGAAACCAATGTTGTGATCTTTAATTTGCATTATTTCCTGGGCAGCATATATCAGTTTTGACCTTGATAGAGGCAGAATTGCACCTTTTATCTTATGTTTTATAAATAATTTCTCATTGTTATCCTCCAAATTATTCAATATTTGGAACCTTCTCCATTAGTTCCTTAAACTTAGTAACTAGCACAGCTGAAAAAACAATTAGATCAGAGCCATCTTGGAATCTTCACTTTTGCTAAAATGGAGCTGACTTTTTTTTCCTTATTCTTGGTACCAAGTTCTTATACATTTTACCCAATTCAAATCCAGATCCAGATCAAAATAGAGGGGTTATTGTTTCTTCATCCCAGAATGCAAGAAGAAAATTGCAAAGCCACCCATGTTATTACAACTTATTATACTTTAACATGTCAAAGCAGTAGCAATATCTAGCCATCCTTTGCTGATGTCAAAAATATGAAAAGGGGTCAGGTCCAGTCAGAACCTGGATGAGAGAATACCAGAGCTTTCCAGAATAAGCTATAGATTAAAGTAGGATATGTGAAAAGAAAATCTGAAATAAGGTAAAATGGTAAAAAAACAAAAAAAATGGTAAAAAAACAAAAAAAAAACCCTATATTCTTGCAAAAAATGCTGTTCCTGGAATTTAAACTTGATTTGAAGGGAGACTTTATGGACTGTTTGTTCTAAAACACTATGGCTATGTGTAATTTCTTGTATCATCTTAATATGGTTTTTAATAATGTTCACTGTCCAGTGTAGAAGTTCTTTTGGGTGTGCCAGTTACATACCCTGTTTCTCTCAAAATAAGACATCCCCTGATAATAAGCCCAATCAGGCTTTTGAGCGCATGGCAATAAGGCCAAGCGCTTATTTCAGGATTCAAAAAAATATAAGACAGGGTCTTATTTTCGGGGAAATATGGTATTGGCAGCTAACTATGAAGTACATTTGAAAAATATAGTATGTTAAATAATGTTAAATAATGGTAGAGTTTTTGTGAGCATTTAGTGTTTCTGTATGTGTCATGATTGCATGTGAGATTAAAAAAAGCGAGCGGGTCTTGTGTGTGCTGTTTTTGAAGCCTTTGTGATATTATAGGAGGCTATAACAAGGGTAAGGTGAAAAACTGCTTTTTTTGAGTGGGCTTTTTGAGTGTTTGATGGTAGATTTATAGGAGTAATGAATGATAATTCAAACTAATCTTGTATAATGAAAACAAATTATCAAGAATGTAGAATCTTGACTAAGATGAGTTCAAATTCATCATTGTCATATTTGTCTTGATATATTTACATTTTTGTATCCATAGTTGTGAATTTAGTTCCACAGTTATGGAAATTAATATTTTAAAGAATTAGACTGAATGGTCAGTACCTGTAGTTTTACTTCTTATAAATAAACACACACATCCTCAGTCTTTAAATTAGAATTTATTTTATTTATTTTTATTTGATTTATTTGATTTATATACCGCCCTACTCCCGAAGGACTCAGGGTGGTGAACAACCAAACAGTAAAAATACATAGATACAAAATTTAAAAACAAAGTAAAATCGAATTAAACAATTTGGCCCAGACAATCCAATCATTTAAAACCAATTAAAATTTGCATAATTAAAAAGAGGGAAAAGATTAGGCCAGGCCCGCCTGGTGGAATAAAAAGGTCTTAAGAGCGCAGTAGAAGGTGCACAGATCCGGGATCCTCCGTATCTTCCAGATAATAGGTGCCCCCACAGAGAAGGCTCTCCCCCTGGGGGCCGCCAGTCGACATTGTTTGGCCGACAGCACCTGGAGGAGCCCCTCTCTATGAGAGCGTACCAGCCGGTGGGAGGCTATTGGTGGTAGTAGGTGGTCCCGTAAATAACCAGGTCCTAAGCCAGAATTTAAGTAGTTATAAACTTAAGTATCTCTAAGTAGTTTATCACTTAGAGTTTATTACATTTAAGTTATAAACCAAACACCTTTCCTCAAATAGCTGAATATTAGGAAAGAGGAAATGGTTTGGAGAATAAGTAATTTTTCTCAGCAATTTCCTCAAGATATTCCTTTCTTGAGCACATATACAAAAATCAACTTTGAAGTAGTAATATTATTTTAGCACTTTGCTCTATAGTTTGCAATAACATTGCACATAACATTAGAAAAATTCCCATTTTCGAATATAAAATTCATTGTTTACACTGTTTACAATTATAAACAGTTGTATATGCCAAAATTTAATATATTGTAAATCTAGTTTCCTCCACTGGAGGTTATTCAGTTTTTATGTCCAGAGGGATATCTAGGTTTATTGTGAAAGTAAAGTCATAGTTTTGAAATAAGTACACTAATGCAGGGATCCCAATCCTCTTTGAATCACTGGTGCTTTTGAGAATGTGTTCTGGGCATTCTCTCAAAAATTTCACCTTGGAAGACATGGCCAGTCACAAAATAGGTTGAAGTGATTTAAAGAAAATATAAAAACAAAAAAATAAATCAAAAGGAAGAGATGAAATCTGAATGATAAAACAGAAATTTATGGTTTGTGATCTGCATAATGTTATAGCCAAATGCATTTTGTTCAAGGCTTAAGGATAACACTAGGAATAAAGATGATTCTAGAGCTAGTTAGCAGCAAGAGAGGTGCCTATCAGCACACATTTCAGCACTTACGACTTATTAATGAGAAAGTAATATCTATAGGAAGAAAAATTGTGCAATATACCGTATAAGACACACTTTTGTCCCCCCTAAAAGAGGCTGAAAATTTGGGTGCATCTTATATTCCGAATGTAGCCCCACCCACCCTTCAGCCTCCGCGCATCCTCTTCCTTGCTGCAGAGATTGTCACCGACAATGGCTTAGCCATTTTGGGCGCTGCGTGTCGCGTTTTCAGCCTCCAAACGCTCCGTTTGAGAGCCCTTCTAGGCTGCAGGGATTGCCAAAGCACATCACCACTGATCGCCACCTGAAAACATGACACGTTTGGAGGCTGAAAACACAACGCGCAATGCCCAAAATGGCTACCTGGAACAGCTCCTGCCTTCTCTTACCCTTTCCACGCTTCGCCTGCTTTAGTCACTGGAGGTCCCTCCGATGATCAGCTGTGCTTTTGAAGCTGTTTTTTAGCCCCAACCAGGTGCACGCGCTCAAAATCAGCGAACTAATGTGCTGAAGCTGACCAGGCTAAGGACACTAGCCAGATGAATACCTGGTAGGCAGAAATTTTTTTTCCCTGTTTTCCTCCCCAAAAACTAAGATGCCTCTTATACTCCAGTGCGTCTTATACTCTGAAAAATATGGTAAATAGCACATTGAAAGGCTTCTCTGAAAGTTAACATTTTTAAAATACATTTTTCAAAGGAACCCATGAAGGCAAGAGCCTTCACTTTTGTAAGGGGGTAGGGAAGGAATGTCCTGTGATTTCATCCAATTTTCTCTTTGATAACTACTGGTAGGTAATATTGCTGCTGATGATGATGTTACCTAGTTTAGTAATGAAACAATTCAAAGAAAACCATCAAGCTCAGAACACCAAGAACTCCACAGCTATAAGGTTTATTTCTAAACAAAAAGCTTGGGAAAGTGGAATCTTGTTGGAATCTTGCATGAGCAGCAAACCAAGTTCTTGTAGCTTCTGTGTAACCATAATTTTCGCCTTCCTCTAAAGTTGTAATTTTTTTTGAAACTCAGTAAACCAGCTACTATAGATATTAAACACTTCCAGTAACTTTAGTAACTTTCTTGTCTGTTTTTAAAAATTTGAATAAAAGAGAAAAAGAAATCAAAATACATTAAAAGCAGTTTGCAGACATTTAATCTCCAAAGTTTATTTGGATGGTTTATTTTGTAATCCTGAATTGCAAATAGAGAAAGCTTAAAGAAAACCAAACATAGGATCATATTAAAAATACTTCTTTTCTAAAGAAAAATGAACAGTGGACATCACCATCTTTCTCAAGAACCTTTATCTTATGGATTTTGATGATAATATGGCATTTGTTCATTTACATTAAAGCTTCCTCACTCTGCTTCCTATCACTATGTACCATTTCCTTTTAGGCTTAGGCACAAAAGCCAGTTGGGTGATCTTGGGCCAGTCTCTCTCTTGCCTCTAGGAAGATGGGAATGGCAAACCATTACTGAAAAACATTGTTAACAACATTAAGTGAAGTTTGCATCAATAAAATCTGTTGCTGCCTAATTAACATTCTTTTTAAGAAGTCTCATGATGTTTTGCTTTTTAAAAACAGGTCTCATGCAAAAAATCGAATACTGTATCATCTGCAACACAGTTATCTAAAATCAAAGCAACCTCTACACAAGCTGCAGCAAAGAAAGAAAAACGGCAGAGTTCTTCAAAATTTAGTATTACGAGTAATAGAGAACTCCAAAAACTGCCAGCTTTAAAAGGTATTTGCATTTTTTTTCACACAAATCATAATACAGGTGGGGATCCCAAAGGTGTGGGTTTACACAGTTAGTCAAGCCTGTAAAATACGAATTTACTGTGGATTATTTTTTCCTTAGTTGTCTTTTTTTTTCATTTTGCTTTCTTTGTGTTATGTTTATATGTATTTTTTATTACTTCACTAATGTTTTTTACTTGTTCATCACTCAGCATCACTTTGGCATAAGGGGCAGGCATAAAAATTGAAATAAGTAAATGTTGGTTGTAAAAAAATTGGCAATATAATGTATTGTTTAAGCTTTTTTAGCAGAGCTTCTGACCTTTTTCCTTCAAAGATCAGATCTTCACACTGCATCACAGAGCATTAACCAGGTTGTTCATACATTATTGCTAAGGAAATATAGCAAGATTATTGCTTTAGGGCAGAAGCAGCAGAGGATGATCCAAAATTCATATAACATTATGCTGTGATAATGTCCAGAAAAAAATAGCTGAGAATTTATGCTCATCGAGGGGTTAAATTTAAAGTAACATTCATTCAAGCAATTTATTGTGAATCTGTAGAATTTTAAAGCATACTGTATGCAGGTGTTGAACTTGAGAGCAGAACGTATGATCACACTCCCTTTTGTTATGGAGAACACCTATGAATACATTTTTGATTGACTGCCATCAACTTGTTTTAATAGGAATATTGTAGAATATGCAAAACTCTCAAATTTCCAAAAATCCTTACATAGAGGAAAGCATTACTTGCTATTTCGATGTCTATAAATAATTTTATAACTATGAATTACAAAATTAAAATTTCTAGAAGTTTTAATTTTACATTTCTAGAAAGCATGTTCTCTTTCTGCACAGCATCTTATTTTAAATAAACTAAAAATTTATTTTGTAATTCTTCAGAAAAAGGCACTGCTCTTCCATGAAGCGGCCAGGTTTTTAAACATAGGACTAGCAGCAAATAAACACAAGATAACACTTGACTAGAAACAGCATAGGATCTAATGATATTATATCCTATTTTATAATTAACTATTTTAGAAAGGCTTGATGGTATATGCTAAGAGACTTGTCACTTACAATTTCATGCACAGAATTATGCTTTCTGAATTTCTTTACTATGCTGACATAGCAAGTTTGAGATACACAGATGCCATTATTAGGATTAAAAAGCTTTTATATATTGGGCTGATAATCATGGGATCCTTTCAAACAATGAGAAAAACAAAATTAAATAAGATCTAGTGGAAGCATTTTGTGTAGTTTGTAAGGCATTAATTTCTACAACATGCCAAAGTGAAAAGCAAACATTTGATAATGAATTATACTACCCTGTTTTCCCCAAAATAAAACATCCCCTGATAATAAGCCCAATCGGGCTTTTGAGCACATGGCAATAAGGGCAAGCGCTTATTTCAGGGTTCAAAAAAATATAAGACAGGGTCTTATTTTCGGGGAAACACGGTAATTGCCTGATTTCTAAATTACTAATATTATTATTCATATTCAGTATTCATATTAAATACTTGTAATAATGAGATCTTATCTTGAATGAACCTAAAGTGCTGGGATATACCGGTACTTGCTTTGTGAGGTACTTTCTATACCAGTATTATACATTGCAAATTCCCTCTTGTTCATGACTGCTTATGTGATTTTGAAAGTGGACAACATCATATTACTGATATAATCAATGAACTGTGGTGCTGTTTCTTGATCACGACAAACTTCAATGTGCTGTCTAATGGGTATTTATTTATAAAATATATTTGCCCTTGTCATATTTGCTCAGTAAAAATAATCATGGTTTCTGAGCATGATTGTTGATTTCCTTTTTAAAAAAAACAAGCTTTGATCAGAAAATAACAAATGGGAGAAGGAAGCAAAACCATGGATTACACACAACTTCATAGGAACAGTGAAGTAATCACAATGTATCACTATTCTACAGAATGTTTTCTCTGTATAAGTTTAATACTTCAAATGTTGTGCTTTTTCAGTTAAAATAAAAAATAGGTTTGATTTATCTCCTGAGGCTGTAATTGATATTATCTTGTGGGATGATATTGGTCTGTTGAACCTAAAAACAGTTTTCATTTCTTCATGTTTCAGTAATGCTTGACAAGTAGTACATGTGGCCTTCAGTTTTAATGATATAACATGACTATTTCAGATAGCTTATCTGAAAGAGATAGAGAACAGTGAATACAAAAGGAAGAAAATGTGTCGAAAATATCTTTATAAATATTCTTGTTTCTTTTGCAAAAATCCTGCATCTGGATTATCATTAACTTTACTCTGTTTTTGGAAAATGGGTGCAGAGAATGAACTGGAGCAACTTTCTTCTAGTTGCTAGTATTTTAGACAATCCAAAAATGTACTGTGCATTTTTTTTCATACAATTTGATGGAATTGCTGCTACGTAACACCAGTTTTGCATGTTGAATAATGGACATATATCTCCTACATTATAAACCCTTATTAAATCAATTTTAATGTTTAATTATTAGAGAGTCCGTTTTAGGACTGATTTTTGCCTTAAAAAAATAAAGGTAATCACCTGGCTCTAAAATGTGTGTTATATATCCTTCAAAGTCCAGCTCACTTTTTTTTCAATTCAGGACTTGAAAAATGGATGCACCTTTCATAGAGGTCAATTTTAAGGTAGGCAGCCATTGAATTGTGCCTCATGGACATAAGCCTATATGTTGATTTTAGCTCTGTATTTTAGCCTTTTTAAGTATAGGCTAACAGTTGAGCTGAGTTATCTGGTGTGTTTTTATTAGAACGGCTGCATGTGACATGCAAATGACTGATAGCCTATTTAATTCATTTTTGTTAGAAAGCCAGCATTGCATGTGCATCAACTCTCTTTTTCATCTGGATAAAAAAAATAATTGGGAAGTGGTGGAGACAAAATGGATATGCACTTTCTAAATTTTGACAAAATGTTCAGTGTACATGATACTGAAATGCTGAGTTTCTTATTTCTATGTGCCTTCATAGAGTTTTGTTATTGCTCAGTTAAATGCTGTTATCTGGAATAATATATAAAACTTGAACCACATTCCAAAAAAATTCTAATATATATAAGGTGTATATTTTTGGTTGTGTGTGGCTTTTGAGACTACTAATATCTTGACAACACTAGCTTTGCTTGATTATGTTTTTAAGCAGTGAACTCTTTAAGAGTCAATGGTATTTTATTTCACTTCAGAACTTTGATAAACAATGAAATTTAATTTGTAATGTAGCATACTTAGGAAGAAAACTCATATTTACTATAAATGGTTTACTAGAAAATAAACTGAAATACAAGGGATATTATTTTAAGTTGCTGCACATTTTCAAGAAGCCTAAGCATAATTTAATTTTTGACCATTGAAAAGCAGATAATGGCTGGATTTTTATATCATGCTAAGCTGTAATAGTGCTAAGGTTTAGCATAATGTGGTTTCAATGTGTGACCCAGATTGCTATTGTTTATTCAATAAACTGTGATTCAAAAATCTGGTTTAACACTGATTACAGGTAATGTTAAATTTAAATTACAGTATTCGTTCTCATTACTCAGATTGTATGAAGTTCCTGATTGATAGCATCGTACCCGCTACAAATCTGAATAGACAAATGTAGTTCTGCAAACATAGCTATCCCTTGCTAAGTCTCCATAAGTGTAGAGTTGTCCATGAACAGATTACAACATTGTTGAAGTATGGATTGTACATTGGAAGAGAATTACATAGAATATTTAGTATTTAGGAATAACACTAAATAGTTTTTAAAGGATTCCTAAGTGCAAAGTGGAATGAAATAGTGGAAATACAACATTCTTGAGGGAGAGTACAGAAATCTAACTTTACATAAGAGCATATTGAAATAATTCAAATTTACTCTGTGTCTCAATGGGGAACAGAAGAAGACTGAATAAACTCTCCCAGCAAAGAATTCCACAGCCTGAATGAAGAGGCTGTCTGCTGTGTACTTATATATAGGTAATCCTTACAGTCATTCATTTAGTGACTCTTACAAGTTACAACAGCACTGCAAAAAGTGACTTATGACTGTTTTTCACACTTACAACCGTTGAGGCATCCCCATGATCATGTGATTAAAATTCATGTGCTTAACAACTGATTCATACTTATGATGGTTGCAGTGTCCCAAGGTCAGGTGATCACCTTTTTGCAACCTTCCAACAAGCAGTCAGTGGAGAAGCCAGATTCACCTAACAATTATGTTACTAATTTAACAACTGCAGTGATTCACTTTACAAATGTGGCAAGAAAGGTCATAAAATAGGGCAAAACTCACTTAACAAATCTCTCGCTTAGCACCATAAATTTTGAGCTCAATTGTGGTCATAAGTCGAGGACTACCTGTATGGTTGGACATACTCTCTAGAACAGGCCTGTCAAACTGGCAGCTCACGGATCGGATACAGTCTGCACAGGCCACACCCACTCTGACTCCGCAAAGGCAAAAAACATTGCAATACGTCACGATCCGGCTTGCAACGCGATCGAGTTTGATACATCGAGTTGGATTGCTGTAACATGCTGTATGTGGGGCTATCCTTGAAGAATATTTGGAAGTTACAACTCGTACAGAACACACTGGCATAGATAGGAGGCCCCTAAGGTGGCATATATAACATCCCTGTTGCTCAAGTTGCACTAGTTGCCAGGTGGCCTGTCCCACTCACACCAAGAGAATAGGCTTTTCATGGATCTCATCTGTCAAGTAATTTCGGCTAGTGGAATCCAGGATAAGAGCCTTTTCTGTTGTGGTCTCCGCCCTTTAGAATATTCTGCCACCAGAATGAGGAGAAATCTAGACCCACCCTCTTGGTCTTCCAGAAGAGGCCTTAAAACCTTGCTCGTCAGGCTGACCTGGGTCTCCACTTTGGGTGCTCTATGTTGGGGATAGCTGACGGGGTAGAGAGAAGATCTCACCCCATGCTGCCCATCCTCTTGATTTTTAGTTTCTGTTTAATACT